ATCAGTGTCAATAAACAGTACACATGTATTCAAATGTAGCAACTAATTTGGGATAAAGGAAGTAGTAGCCAATGGCTTGGTTTGTTTTATTGCAAATCATACACCTAAGGGAATGGTTGTCTTTGTGGAGAACTTTCTAAAGGGCAGTGGCTCATGTCACCATTAGACAGGGAAAAACCAGAAAACACAAAGTCAGTCCATTCAACTGGAATTGAACACAGGTCGATTTACCAGTGTCGCTACTTTTTATCGTTCAGCCACTGGTGGGCCACGATGAGACAATGCAAGTATTCTTAAATAAAAAATTGCAGATAAACTTGCCAAATCCGGTGGTGGAGAATAATCATCTATCTGTTATAACCACGAGACCAACTTATTTGGTTAGGTGGGTCGGGCTCCACCCATTTCTGATACCTTTTTTAGTTTGGATACCACTGTAGTCATTAGGTTATTTCGAAGCAGGAATCATGAAAAATTAGCAATGCTCCCGCCATGACTCGAAGCTCTCAAATACGCATCGAGCGTGCTGACTATTACACCACAAAGGCATGCTAAGAAGGCAGAAAAAATCACAACAGGAAGGAAGCTTAGATTTGCAAAATTCAATAGACTCCTGACAATAAGTTCATGAATTGTGCAGTAAGGAAAGGGATGCGTTAATGAAGCAAACCACATCTATGTTTAGAAAATTGTTTTCCTTCCTGGAATGTGCAAAAGCTAGATTACCTCCGAGTCACATTTTAATTTCATGAAGTTATTTTTCAAACACCTTTTTTCTTTGCAAAGAGCATTTCTCTCTTCAAGAAACAGAATAGCTATTTCTTCCTCTTGATAAAAATACCAAATTGTGAAATCCACTGCAGTCAAATAAGGGGGAAGGAGATTAGATGAAAAACATTGTTGCACAAGTGATAGCAGTTACCACCAGGAAAGTGAAACCAGGAGACCAAACTGCCGACCAGGAAATACTCCACAATAAAAAAAAGAAACAAGTGGTAAGGCTTTAATGGAAAGTAATCGAAATTATATCTGCACCTGTTTACTGGCGTTTGATTAAGTGTAGCTCAAAATAAAAGGGTGTTGTTGTATTTAATTATGGCAAAGCACACGAGGGCCATCTGCCTCAGGGGAGGGATGCCTTCGTGGAGGACTTCGAAGGAAACTGGTCTATACCGTTACACATGGGGGAAAAAGAAAACGCCCATGCAGCCAGCCCGCTTGCGGGATTTGAACCTCGGACCGAACTACCAGTGTTCAGCGACTTTACCGCTCAGCTGCTGGTGGGCTCCTCAAAACGAAAGGAAATCTGGTCTAAAAGAAAGTCTACTATATCTTACTTTATTATAATAAGTAAACCTTCTACATTGACTACATACAATAAGAAAAAAAACCTGTTTTAAAAGGGAGAAGAAGGTATTGTTGGATGTTCAGAAAGAGCAAAAGCATATCCTTTGTGTATACTTGGAACTTGTAAGGTATTAAAAATAATAATACTTAATTTATACAACTATTTCAAACTGAAATACAACTAGAAACTTCAATAGTTGCTGAAAAGGAATGTGTAGAATTTAATCCAAGTTCCGAAACATTGGAAGAAAGGAGGGCAAATGATGAAGAAAATGAAATTCAAGCAGAAAGATTTCGAAAAACACCAGAAAGACCTAAATTCCTGAAAATGGGTTACCAAGGCAGATCAAGAGAAGTTTATCAGAAAAATCTGGTTAATTTGGTAATCTTGGAAGTTATAATAAACTCATAAAATGTAAAACGGGCTTATCGAGATCCAGTGCAGAAAAGTGGAAAGTAACTGTGGAAGGTAAATATAATGCACCGATGAAAAATAGCATTCACAAAGGATATGCTTGATAATTCATTAAAAAATCAGAAATTGGGCCTTGCTACAGATCCAGTGAATGATGAAACTGCAGAGAAACTTACGATGCCAAAAACACTTCTCAGAATGACAAAACAGATAACTTGTGCAGGAAATATATTGACAAGCTATAACATTATGGCCATCCCAACATTTTTCAATGAACTTATCTGGATGGCGTGAAGGGCATGTTATTAAGTGGAAATGGTATTTATCTGCTGCTGGAGAAGATAAGAAATCATTCTTGCTCTTACTTTTGCAAGTAATGGGAAAGGCAGATTGTAATGGCCGGGAGACTCAGAACAAGTAGCTTCAAAACAACTAGTAGGTTGTTCACGATCTGACATTGTTATTATTTATGCAAAGTGGATCAATGATGGTGAAACCAGTAGTAGATGCCAAGGTGTTGGACATCCATGGATCATCAAAATAAAAAGAGCCTGTCCTGCTTGTTACAGCAAAATAGGCACCAGACATTGGTTTAGCTGACAGACCAATACAATACACCTTCAAGTGCAAGTGTTTTGGAACACACAGTTCAGCAGACAAACAAAGAGAGACACTTTGATACCAATTATAATGAAACTCTTAATTGCCCACTGCACTTCTATTTTTATTCTTTTCTCAGCATATTAAAGGGACAGGCTACTGGAAATCTGCAATTTCCTGTAGCACTGAGAAATGATGTCATGAAGATCTGCTACATAGAAGCAGGAAGAGCATGGTTAACAAGTGGTGATGTGATCTGCAGTCTAGATTGCATGCATTTAGGCTTGCCTCCTTGCTTTTGGGAAAAACTTGTTAAAGCCAGTCATGGAGCTTTCCTGACACACTTATGCACTTTGACCTGGGTTCCTGTTATGTGTGGGAAGTTTTGATACCAGGTTGGCCAATTCGGCTTAAAGATCCAGTTCTGTTATAAGTCTAAATTCATATAAGAAAGACTAAAGACTCCACCAAATTCCAACAGTGACAGCTAGCTCAAATAATCAAACCTGGAACTAAGGAATGCACACAAAGAAACTGATACACAACTAGTAATGTTGTGTAATAGTCTTCTGCAATTGCAGACTCTGAACTATGAAAAGTCATAAAATTCCCTTTCTTATTTTTCCTCTAACCAAAAGCAATGAGTAATTAAGTTCATCTAAGAGTTTCAGTCTCTTAGTTGGTAAATTACTTTTCAATTTTTATTTCTTCACCTATTGCAATAATGAGTAAAATTATTTAATAATTTAAGCAATAATTATTATGGATACTCATTAGTTTGTTTAATCAAGCATGGCATTATTTGTCTAAGGGGAAAGATGCCTTTGTGGGGATTTTCCAGAGGAAACTGTCTTGTATTTATATTACACATGGGGGGAAAAATCTGTAGCCAACATGCTTTCCTAGGATTTGAATTGTATTTTTACTATCAGTACTACACAATCTTATCCATTCGGCCACTGAGACATACAGTTTGTTTGTAAGCATTCAAAGAGTATTTAATTATATGTAAATGCACATTAAATGTATATACAGGGGTATCCTGGCATACATCATTAATCTGTTTCAGATCCAAAGGAACTTTTCCAATAAGAATTAAAGGGAAAATAATGAAAACTTTTTAATAAAAAAAACCCTACTGTTATAATAATAACACTGTTAAACACCAAAATACAAATGCAGTGAGTGAAATATATACTGTCTATAAATGAAGCACTACCCACAATATTGTGTATAAATGTTTTTTTCACTATCTGTATCAAAAGCAATTTTTAATGTGCGTTGTGTGTTTTTTAATGGATGTCTTTGATCTTTGCTAGGTAAATGATTTTACCTCCTTCACAATGATAATCAATTTAATAGCTTTTGTTTTTTACAATTATAGATACCATCATACAGGGCAAACTGCATGTAATAGCCAAATAGCAGATACACATGATCCTTAATTTTCAACTATCTCTTTTTTGATCTCCAGGGTGATCTTAATTTTCTTCATTGCTGAAATTTCCTCATTAACTTTCCTAAAGCTCATTTTAAATGAATTTACAAAAAATATATGTAAAAACACAATATGATTTGATATTTCAGTTACAGCATGGGCTTTTTACTGAATAGAAGCAACAGGCATGCTAACAGTCTAAGTCCCCACAGGTCATATTTCAAAGCAGAAGTCTACTAGAGTACCACTGTATTTACATAGCTTCACTCAAAATTATATGTCACAGGCTTTGATCATCTAATCACAACCAGAAGCAAAACTCCAGATACCAGAACTGTGAGACTTTTGATACCCTTGTATGTTACCACAATACCACTGATGGCTTTGGCAATCATAGCATTACTATGTATAAGTTACTTAAAATTTTAGATTCTATTTTTTTCTTTATATCTGAAAGGTACATTCCAAGTGAGAAGTACACCACTTAATATTATCACACAACATGCAATTGATTTGAAATATAGGAATCCATGATTGTTTACTCTGTATCCAAAATATAAAGAACTTTAAATAGCTATTGATCATTTGCCATCAATATGATTCTGCTTTAAAATTTAACCTCAGGGGCATTTAAATATACTGCTGTTCTTTATTTCACTGATTACACAAAATTATAACCTAACGGCAATTAGGATAGCAAACACATTAAAATTTTTATGGGAAACCTATTACACAAGAGATCACACTTTTTATATTAGCCTACCAAATTTTCCAAAGTAATAAATAAACTCAAGTTTTTAATCGTTAGAAATAATTTTTACTAAAAAATTAAGTTATGTTTTAACTTTAAATGTATGGCAAAATGCCCAGTTAAAAGATGACTGCATTTTTTAAAGTGTTTAAGAACATATAAAGAATGCTTGCAGTTAAGGTGGTCTCACATTTAAAAACTTGATATATTGGAGGTGTTGTACACAAAAGAATATTAAATGCTCTAAGTACACAGTTCGAGCTAAGATTAAATCTGTTAAGTGGAACAAGTGATAAGCTGTCTAAATATATTTTTAACAGGAAGTGTGTGTATATATAAGAGTTATGTTTTGTTAAGCTTGTCTGAGGAATTATAGGACAAAAATGAGACAATAGAGTAAATAATTTTTTAATCAATCACAGGTATAGAAAAAATTTTATTTTTAAAACTTATACTTACTAAAGGAGGACTGACTTCCTTCAAAGCATTAAAAACGTAAGTCAGAGCTTCTATCAGCTCTTCAATAGACGAGCATTCTTCAAAATAATAAATAATTAGAAGTTAGTAAAAAATTATAAGATCATGGATACAACAGAATCTAAGAATTATAACTCTACAGGTTTTGAAAATAAACTACTACATCATCATCTTCAAGCAAGGGGGAAAAAAAGGCATCAAACAAGCTAAAATAAATAAAATATCATACTGCAAAAATTTTAAGTTATTCTTACAAGAAATTGGTTGAAAATAAATAAGAAACATCAGAGTGAACTATACAGCATTTGAAGGGAAGAAACACACTGAAATTATAGTCTAAGTCGTGTGTTACAGGGTTATTCTGAAAAGAAATTGGTTGAAAATAAATAAGAAACATAACAGTGAACTATACAGCATTTAAAGGCAAGAAACACACTGAAATTATAATCTAAGTCGCGTGTTACAGGGTTGATTTATTCTAGTCTGTGTGTTACACCGTGCTTAATTCTTCAGCAGTTTTTGAAGAGAAAGTAGCAATTCAGAATAATCTAATCAGCCATCACTAATTTATGAAAAAAAAAAAAAAAGGAATCTAGCTCGTACTTTTAAAATAAACAAATTATGTTAACAATTTTAAGGAAGCATTAATGACACCATTTACAGAAATTTGGCTTTGAGCTAGCTCGAGATCTATTTCAGGGAGAGACTATGTCGAACAAATAAACCGGCCTAGTACACACATAAAATTACATCAGAATGAAATCAGAAAAAGAGTGATAGTGGCTATAAATGATCACATCAAATTATGAACTATGTTCAACAGCTAGATTTAAATTAGATGCTCAGTGATATTTACCAAAGGCCAATAAGCAAATAAACTTTCCTTTAATTATCAAACACCATTGAATTGTTCTCAGCAAACAAATATATAGATGGTAATATAGAAGCAGTTACTCAATAGAAAAGAATAGACAGTTTGGGATGTGATTGACTATAAAAACAAGTATCTCTGCACCTTTTAACTATTAAGAATGATAGTGGCTATAAATCATCACATCAAATTATGAACTATGTTCAACAGCTAGATGAAATTAGATGCTCAGTGACATTTACCAAAAGCCAATAAGCATAGTCCCAAATAAACTTTCCTTTAATTATCAAATACCACTGAATTGTTCTTAGCAAACAGATATATTGATGGTATTACAGAAGCAGTTACTGACCAGAAAAGAATAGATAGTTTGGGATGTGTCCGACTATAAAAACAAGTAACTCCTTTTAACTGTTTAATATACATCAAATAACAGCCTGCTACGATTAATTAGCAATTAAAGCTAACAATTTCATTTACATACTGTAAACACTTGCTGAGATTGTAGACACTAATACAATGATATTATCAGTAAAATTTTAAAAATGTTTGATAACCATGCTAGATCTATTTATAGCTTTTCATAGATCTTCCCTGATCTATTAGAAGGTGAAAAAAACATTATGCAACACTCAGAATCATCATAATGCTAATACAACTTTAATAAAAATTTCCTCTTTCATTTTTAATAAGAAAAAAAAAAAAAGGTCACAGATCTAATCATGCCAGTTTTCATTACACCACTCTGCTTCTTCTTCAGCGCTATAAACAGTATAATTATGTTTAACTAATGTCACATACAAAGAACGACAGATAAGAAACCCTCAGGTTACTGTAACAATCCAAAATTTTCTCTTTCCTTTCCAAGATCTTATAATCAAATATATAAATCAGAAAATATAAATCAGAACATTATTTATACATTTAATACATAAAAAACTATTTTGGACTAAGAAAGCTTCCAAACATTGTCCTAGTGACACATATTTATTTTCAAAACTGAGAAGCAAATAAAAATACTGTTTTATTATAGAGGAAGATTCAGAATGCAGATTAGAAATAACTTTCCATAAATCTGCCAAACAAGGTTCACAGCTAGAATCATCACTTTCATCTCCAATTGATTCAAAACTGTTACAGTTATAATACACTGCTGGCCATTAAAATTGCAACACTACAGAGGAATGATCTGACGAATGTCAAAATCACACGAAAGGAAGAAGTTGGGATAGAAAATGCTTACCATCAAGTTTTAAAATTCAATAGAGGCAGTATTGTTGAATATCGAAAGTGTAGATCATTGTTCTATAATATCGCCAGTCGCACTGGTCGACATCCAACCACTGTCATGCGAATTTGGAATCAATGGATTGCTGAGGCTCATACTGAACAGCATGTAGGATCTCAATGCCCTTCCATGAATAACACTAGCGAGGACAGACATATTGTGAGGTCAGCTCTGCTAAACCATACGACTACATCCCGTACCATTAGTCAGGAAATGGGCATGTTTGCAGCACGCCTAGTATTAGCTCGTAAAGTGCGTTGATGTTTGCAGTAGCACAGACTATAAGCAGGGTAACAATTACTTTGGCTTCCTTTGACAATTCAGCTTACAGAGAAACGGCGACTCTGGTGCATCAAATGGCAAAGCTGGGTACAGGAGTGGCCCAATATCGCCTTTTCAAATGAGTCCCGGTTCTACGTGCAGTATTCTGATGGCCGTATGCATGTCTGGAGTGTCCGAGGAGATTGCACATCACCTGCTTGCATTCAATATTGACATAGGGACCCTGTACCTGGCGTGATGGTTTGGATACACGACAAACATATCTCTAGTTCAGATTGGTTGTAATTTGAATGTAGATGGGTACATTTGACATCTTACATCCTGTAGTTGTGCCCTATCTTCCATGCTTCCCAAACACCATATTCCAGCAAGATAATACAAGACCACATGTTGCATGTCATGTTTTGACCTTCATCGATACACAGGGTATTTGATTGCTGTGCTGGCCTGCAAGGTCACCAAATCTGTCACTCATTGAAAACATATGGTCATGGGTTGCTGACAGACTGGCCCGCCACCATTCTCCAGCTAATATGGTTGATGAAGTGTGGAATAAACATGAAGCAGCATGGAATGCTTTCTCCATTTCTGTCATCCAAGCCCAGTTTGACTTCATGCCTAATGAAGTAAGGGCCATTTAATTGCCAGGGGTCGCAGCTGTTTTTTTCTAATTTCTCACCCCTGTAAACCTCCAAAATGCCTACAAATTTAATTTTCTTCATGCCATACTGTTTACATGCAACAAATAAATATCTTTTTTTGTATCTGCTTTCCTTCATGGTGTTGCAATTTTAATGGCCAGTGCAAGCTTCCTCATTAAAATTCTTTAAACAATCACTGCCCAAATCTGATATAATTCAAATAAAATATTTAAAGTATAAAATAATATTCTAACAAATGAAATAAAAAATGTCACATGAGAAAGCATATTTGAAAGTGAAATGAAACTCGCAAGTAATGCAATTTCCACATGAAAATGTTGACAAGGGTTACCATCTGGTGAGCAAATAAAAAATCTTGCTGTCCACAGTTATATTACAGTCCCAATTGCAATGTCAAAAACGAGATTTTTGCATAAAATAATATTTGTACATACATACATATATACATACATACAGGGTGTTTCATAGATCATGGGACAAACTTGGAGGGGTGGTGGAGCATACTAAAACATGCAATTTTTGTATAGGAATGTAGGGTCTAAAGTGATGGGTTAAGGCAGGAACGAAAAAAAAGCGACACGAGAGGAAAATGTGTTTATGTACAAAATCAAGGCAAGATGCTTCTTTGCAGCAATACAGTATTCACAATAAATGTTCAAAAAAGGGAACACTAACAGTAATAGGAACTACAGCTGTGATTGGTTAGCAATGCAGCGGTAGAGGGCGGTAGTGAGCCGGACAAACCACGATCCGATGCATCAGAGGATCATTTGCAACTCTGATGTCAAGCATGAAAAGTGAGTTTAGGCACAGGGAAAAAGCTGACATGCATCTCATGTATGGTGCTGCTAATGGGAACGGCAGAGAAGCTCTACAGTTGTACCAGGAATGGTTTCCGAACAGGCGTATGCCGAAGCACCCAATGTTCGAGAGGTTGCATCGGTCTCTGTGTGAAAATGGGTCATTTGAAGCCACCTCTGACACTAGGACTGGAAGAAGTGGTGCACGAAAACCTTGCATTGAAGAATCCATCTTGAACATTGTGCATAAATCACCTCAGACAAGTACAAGAGCTACTGCATGTCATCTGCACCCGAGTCATTCCACCATTTGGAGAGTATTGCACGAAAATGGTTTGCACCCATACCATTTGCAGAGTCCAAGCCTTGCAAGAGACAGATTACCCTCTTTAAGTTCATTTCTGTCATTGGTTTTTGCAGCATTGTACAGCACAGGCGGATTTCCCATCGGATGTGCTATTCATGGACGAGGCAACTTTCTCACAGGACATCTTCAATAGCCACAACATGCATGTGTCAGCAGATCATAATCCACACGGCACATGTCCACATGCATTCCAAACCCACTTCTCCGTGAATATGTGGGCGGGTATTGATAACGACTCATAGACCCATACCTCTTACCTGCATGTACAAATGGCTTATGTTATCATATTTTTCTGCAAGAGGTGCTACCGGAATTGCTGCAGGATGTTCTGGTTCTCGTTTGTGATAGCATGTGGTTCCAGCATGATGGTGAACCAGCCCATAACCGCGTGGTGGACAAATCCGATGGCCACCCCGTTCACCAGATTTATCCAGTTTGGATTTTTTTTATGGGGCCATCTGAAGAGCATCATTTACGAGACTCCCGTTGACTCACTGGAGGACCTCGTTGCACGACTATCCATTGCGGCTGCAAGCGTGTGCAAAATGCCTGTCATTTTTCAAAATGTTTGTCAATCCCTTCTGCGATGTTACCAAGCATGTATTACTGCTGGCGGTCGCAATTTTGAACATTTATTTGTGAATACTGTATTGCAACAAAGAAGCCCTTTGCATTGATTTTGTACATAAACACATTTTCCACTCGTGTTAACCCGTCACTTTAGACCCTACATTCCTATAAAAGAATGCATGTTTTAGTACACTCTACCACCCTTCCAAATTTGTCCCATGATCTATGAAACACCCTGTATATGTGTAACATTACTGTTCTGTGCTCACTAAAACATATATTTATGCTGTTAGAGTGATAGATTAACAATGTGCAAGCTACATAATTGCACGAAGGGAGGATACTTATATTAATGGACTAATTTGAAGAAGTCTTGATTAAATGTGCATGTAATAGTTTGATAATCTGACATGAAAAGGATCAAAAAGTGTTTGCATGCCTTACAAAAAGAAAAATTATAAAACATTTATTTAAAGTTTAAAGAAATCCAAAATAAAATATAAAATATTACCTTTTAAGATAAGCCAAAGCTTATCAGTGAAATCAAGATTTCTACAAGCATCCAGTACAGCACAATCAAAACTTTCTAATTTATTATAAATCAGCATAGGAATTTCTTTTACTGCAGGAGCTGCAATAAACAAGAAAAAAGCTGTAAATCTCTCTACAAAGTCTTCAAAAATTATAATTCCAAGCAGATAAATTTTAGGCTATTAAATTCAAATTTTAATTTTAAATAACAAAGCAGAAATATACTTAATTAAAAAAGCCATTAATCTTCAAATAATATAACTGCAAGAAAAATGTCATGTATAACTTTAGAATAAGTTTCCAATATTCAGATTAAATTAGAATAAGATGCAAACATTAAAATTAAACTAGAGAGTCAGTATTCGAAAATTCTTTTTCAGATACATAAACAAAAAATTAGATCAAATTTCCAAAACAGCGATAAATAACTTAACTGTAAACAGCATATACAGATATAAAACAAACTAATCTAATAAATTAATTTCAAGACAAAATTTTAGAAATTGTACATGTTTTTTCGGAGAACATTTAAAAAAAAAATTGTTTTATTATGAACTACCACAGCAGGACAGTCAGTCATGGATTTACTCTATTTTTATTAAATTAGTCACCTACAGTTTAAAGATTTAAGTAGGATTAAATATTAAAATAATAAAAAAATGTTTTTTAAATCACACAGTTATAACATGTTTTGTTATAATTGTTTGATTGAACTACTAGCAGTCTTTCCTTGTGTCTTGTGTGTTTCCTTTTCCCTGTGTCAGAGAAAAACATGCATGTTGTATGACACCTCACAATGTGGGGAGGTTTTCCACTCAAACAAAACCACTTTCACAAACAACTGAACAAGCAAGGAGTCTCAAAAATCCCAGAGTACAGTAAGACCTTGCTCAATGCTGGTTTGTTTAGTGCTTTTTCGGTTTAACATGTTTCTATTGGTATTCCCTAAAAATTGTGCACAGCATTAAGGCTTCTTCGAAATTGAACATAATTTATCTGTATTATTTCTTCTCTGTAGTGTTAGACAAACATATATTTATCATTTCAAACATTTGTTGCTGTTATTGTAAGTATAAATTTATGTAATGTAATGATGGACACAGTGTTAAATATTATAATTTTTAGTTTTTAATATGGGTGATAACATGAAAAACAAAATTAAAGTGACAAGAAAAAGCATTTTGCTAGAAACTAAAAAGCAAGTGCTTAGTAGATTAGATAGTGATGAACATCAATGTCAAATTGTGTTGCATTGAATTTGCCAACTTCAACAATAAGGACAACTCTTAAGAATAAAGAAAAAATAGTGTTGTCAGCAACAACAACTACAAAAAACTCTGCAACTAGAATAACCCATTCTAGAAGTACTACAATAGAGGAGATGGAAAAATGACTTTCTATATGGATAGATGACGAAACTGAATGCAATGTGCCATTAAGCCAAGTTATTATAATGGAAAAGTGAGAAGAATTTTTAATTGCATTCGGATTGAAACATGTGACACAACTGAAACTTTCATTGGAAGTCGGGGATGGTTTTATACATTTAAACATCGAACTAATCTTCATAACATACAGATTACAGAAGAACCAGCAAATGGAGATATGGCTGAATTTCGAGCAACATTAGGAACAATAACTGAATGAGGTAACTATCATCATATTTAATGTAAACGAAAGGGGCCTATTTTGGAAAAGAATGCAAAAACATACACTTCTATCCAGTGAAGAAAAATGTGCAGCAGGATTTAAAGCTGTGAAAAATTTTCCAGAATTCGGTCACTGAACATTTTTGACCATCTGTTAAACGCTATTCCAACATAAAAAAACTTGAACCTAAAAGCACGACTTTGAATGGATAATGCTGCAAGCCACCCAACGAATTTGTCTGATTTAATAACATGCATTCCAGTTGAAGTGTTTTTTTTTGGGGGGGGGCACCTAACACAACTGCATTAATTCAACTGATAAATCAAGGTGGTATGTCAAATTTTAAAGCTTATTTATTACCTGCAGTAAACATTTAGACAAATGTTTGAAAAAACAGAGGGAGATGATAAACAATCAATAAGACATTTTTTGGAGGAATTATATCATGGCTGCTATAGAAAATAAATCTTTCTTGGAATGTGGTAACAGAAATATGTTTGGAAGAAGTGTGGAAAAACATTTAACCAGAATTAAATAAGGGCGGCGATAACACTAGAGATTATGTGGTCCATACGAACAAAATAGTGGAATTAGTGAAACAAACAGGTTTAGATGAAGTAAATGTGGAAGATCTTGGAGAAATTTTGCAAGAAAAGGAGAAAGTCTTTCTAATTATAAGCTCAAGGAATTAGCGGATCAAGAAGAACACAAAAATATTAAAAGTAGTGATTATGAAGAAGAGCAAAAAGAATTTTAAACAGCATTTCTAAAAACCGCTTTAGCTTCCGTAACAGAAAATATAGACTTATCTATTAAAAATGACAGATTTTGATAAGAATTCAAAAGAAAAATGCAAATGACATTAGATACCTATGTAATAATAATAAATAAATAAAAAGAAAATTGGAAATGCAGAAAAATGTAAATGATCTAAAATATACGTGGTGACTTAAAATTTTATTTATTTCTATCTATTTATTTGTTAAGAAAATAAGTTTTCATTTTGTATTGTTATAAAAAGCGTATTTAATAAACTTGAATACTTGAAAATTTTTTTTTATTTTATATCCGTTTTCCCCTGACCCTATTATTTAGATGATGACATGACCTCGTTTAACACTATTTCATATAAGACTCTAATTTAACAGAATGTAACCCCTGCTTTAAGCGGGTTTCACTGTATTATATCTTTAATGAAATTATGCAGGCTACTTATTATCTAGCAAATAATCATTGACTTTTAAAGAAATAACAAACTAAATTTGTTAAATGCTTTTGATGGCCGAATGCATATATTGTTTTACATAAAAGATCCAGATTTTTCTAAACAGCATTTCAACATACAGTGGCTTTACATACTTAAAAAAATGACACTGAAAAGCATAAATGTTTATTTCATCTACATTTCAGAAATATAATTTGATAATATAACCACATGATTAAATAAACAACAAATTAAAGTAAAAATAAGGCCCTCAAATTGACACTTCTTGGTTAGTATATTTGCCGGGATTTATGTAAAGTTCAGACAAAAGCAAAGAAGACAATAAGCCTATTCATACACAAAAATTGTTACCTTGATTTCTATGATTAATCATTATTCAGGTTATTATACTACCATGAATAAGAGAAATATTTTATGAAAACTTCTGATGAACTTTTTCCTTGGCTATACCAAAAATACAGAAATATCTTACAGAGATTTAAAAAAACCTATTTAATGTACCTTTTACATTTCCTGGAATCGTATTACCTATCATTACACTAATAAAGTACTGCAGCAAAAAGTATTTAGGAATGTTGAATGACATATTTTTAGGAGTAATTTTCCTGAAAATTTTTACACAATTCTTTCATTTATATGTATTTAATGCAGTTGTTTGACATTTTGACTAATGTGTACTATCTAAACAAAAATTCAAAAAACTTTAGTACCACTACAGTCAAAAGTCGTTAATCCGGACTCGTCGGGACTTCGGCGATTCCGGATTATCGATTTTTCCGGATTATAGATCATCAGTTTAAATCTCGTAAGATGGCATGCAGAAATTCTAAAATTAAAAATATGAAACCGAAATTTATGAAATAAAGAACAATTATGATCTAAAGGGTATCAAAATTTGCAAAAAGAAAAGCTTAATATTTATTTGTTTACTTTATTAAACATTTCTTTCAATGTAAGTTGTTTAAGTTTTGCTTCGTTTCATGTGATAATACTTTCTCTTTAATTCTATTAAACAGACATAATTTCTTGTTTTTTGTTTTCAATAACCTCTGTCACTTTTCTTCGCTATCGGAAGCGAATTATAATGACGAGGAACTTGTTTTAAATCATATCAAAGACGGAGCATATCGAGATGAAATACTACATTTGGTAAGGAATTATAAGCAAATAAATAAAAACATCTGCGCTGAAGATAGTGCTGACAAATCAACTTCCAATTCATTAGGCGCCCGCCGCCGAGCAGCGTGAAATTGATAAACAGATTTCGGATTTCAAAACATACTTTCACTTTAGATCCTTTACATATTAACAAATATATATCGGAATTCTATTTGATATAATCGAAAGTTTAAGCTTACTTTTATAAAATTGCTCTTACAGTCTGCAAAAAATAATAAGCCGGATGCAATTCGAAAATTAAGGAACAACGCAATCATCAACATTAACTGAAATAGATAATTAGATAATTTTAGCTTATACGTCCATTATACATAAAATGCGCACGCGAAAACGTATTCTGCACTTGCGCACACTCATATGCGCAGTCGTAAAAGGTCTTACGCGCACGCGTGAACGCCTCTGCGCATGTGTCAACGTGGCGCATGCGCAGAAAGTTTTTAGTTTTGATGTCCGGATTATAGATCATTCCGAATTATGGGTGTCCGAATTAACGACTTTTGACTGTATAAGGTATTTCTCCTACTTTCCTAGCTTCCTTCGTGGTGTAGTGGTTCTGCACGCTGGGCCGGTATTCCAGAGGTCCGTGGTTCGATTCCCGGCGAAGGCATTTGCCATTTTTCATCTTGTCTGCTTCCAAAAAAATACCTAATGTCTCTATAGTGGCGCCCGAACTAAAAGGGTTGTGGATGATAATTCTCCGCACCCAGAATTTGGCGACTAGGTCCCCTAAAACCCTAGTCACCCTTAAAAAAGGGAAGTATATAAGGTATCTCTCCCACTTTCCTAGCGTCCTTTGTGGTGTAGTAGTTCTGCACGCTGGGCCGGTATTCCAGAGGTCCATGGTTCGATTCCCGGCGAAGGCATTTGCTATTTTTCATCTTGTCTGCTTCCAAAAAAATACCTAATGTCTCTATACTGGCACCCGAACTAAAAGGGTTGTGGATGATAATTCTTCGCACCCAGGGTTTGGCGACTAGGTCCCCTAAAACCCTAATCGCCCTTAAAAAAGGGAAGTGTATAAGGTATTTCTCTCACTTTCCTAGCGTCCTTTGTGGTGTAGTAGTTCTGCACGCTGGGCCGGTATTCCAGAGGTCCGTGGTTCAATTCCCTGCGAAGGCATTTGCTAATTTTCATCTTGTCTGCTTTCAAAAAAAAAAAAAAAAAAAAAAAATGTCTCTACACCACCACATTTTACAATAAGTATTTTTCAATTTCTCATTAGAAATATTTAAAAAAATATTGTATTTTAACTTTTGCATAACCTATTTGCTTTATTAAATTTACACATAAAAAAACATTAAATTAAGAATTGGTCACCATTTTAATTATCAAAATTTAAGTTATAATACTTTAATTCTAAAATTTAGTGTGAAATTCGGGCTTGTTTAAGAGATCAATTTCTTTATGTCTCGTTTTATTTCACTTAACTTTAACTGTAAATTAAGATCCACTTTTAAGTTTGTTCTGTATTTATTTTTCAAATAAAACCTGGAAAAAATCCTTGTTGAGACAAATAGGTTGTGCTGAAAGTCAATGAAACTTTAACAACTTTATTTGAAACACCTTTAAATTCTTTTTTTTTTTTTTTTTCGGTTTATCAAAAGTTAACAAGTGTGTTATTTTTGAAATCTTAAGTTATAGTTTGATCATAGGAAATTTCTATCAACTGTTCTTTTTCTTCACGAGATTCTTGAATTTAATAGTTAAATATACTTTGTTTCTTTGCATACAACCTATTTTTTTTTTCTTGGTTTCCACTGGTTGAGAATTTCTGATTTAATATCTACAGTTACTAACAGGTTTCTATACATGATTTTAAACATATAGGAGAAAGAAAATAGATGATATACAGATAACACCATTGTTACTACAATAAGTTGCATCTCAAGAAAGCAATTTTAAGCAGATTGGGGGGGGGATAGAATAGATTTATAAAGATTATTGCCATATGGAAGATATTTGTACATATTTATACTCACTCTTCCATCTGCTTCCCATATACATTTTTTTTCATGAAATCAGATGTCATTTTCTATTGACTGAAGGCTTAATTTAATAATGGACATTTTTCATCATGTGACCTATTGCAGTATCATCAATATGCTGTTTCATATGTGAATAATGGAGATATTTGAAGAAACAACTGATTGCCCTCAATATGGGACTACGAAACCTACACTTTTATTTATGAGTCATATTTCCTGTGACCAACTGAAAGTATCAGTCAGTGCTTTAAATCGCTAAATGCCTTCTGACTTTAAGTACTATTACTCGTGAAACAATGTGCTGATTCACAGCTTAGCTGCAAATCATCTTTACTGTTGGCTGATTAATGATCATAGATGTTTATTTCATTGAGCCAAAGTATACTAACTGATAAAAAATACACAAAGGTTTTGTCTTCTATATTATACCATACAGGAAGTTCTGCAGATTTCCAAAGCAGTATTTTCTTCTAATTATTTTGATACTACTGATAAAAAGTGACCCTGATTCAAGCAGATGCAAAAATAAGTCTTTTTTGCTCATTCTGCATAACTCTTGCATGTGTTGTACATATATATATATATATATATATATATAATAATTTATTTCCTAAACAGTATTGATTAATTGATTATATTATCTCCTAATATATATATTTATTTATTTATTTATCAATGCAGTGCTAAGAATTTAAATATCCAGTTTATTTTCGCCCTGTTATGTATATGGACAAAGTGCTTTTCTGGTGACAGAATTCAAAGGCAGAGCTGACCAACTGCTGAGGTGTCTTTCATCACAGCAATGCTTGGCACCATATTTCAACGAATGTCAGACAGAGACTTACTGAGTATGGCTTGAGACACTTTGTGACACCCCCATACTCACTTGGCCTTTTGGATTTTCATCTTTCCAGATCACTTCAAAATTCTCTAATCAGCCTGGAGGTAACTTCTTTGGCGACTATCAAACAGCATGTCAATAACTTCTTTATGAATAAACTTAATGAGTTTTTTAAAGAAAAAACTTCCATGGCAAAAGGTTACAGAGCAAAATAATGCTTATGTGATTTAATGAAATTTTATGAACTGCTTCATTTCTATTTATCATCAAAAACTGCAGAACTTCCCAAATGACTGAACAGAATATGGTCAAATCTGCATTATGCCTACTGTAAAAAAGTAAAAAATGACAAAAAAATTTTTTTGAAGTCACAATCCTATTTTTATGGGAATCAAACCATAACTTAGTAATGTTACTCATTTGTTTCCTGATAAACTTTCTTTGCAAGTTCCTAGCTGCAATTCCTGCAAATAATGACAGAATATGTTACAAAAAGTATGACAGCATTACTATACACTTCCAATATATTTAGTATGCTGAAAGTAATCTATATTTTCTTCATTCTGAAAATCTCTTTATTAAACTGAATGAAAATAATATACATTTTTAAAACCAGGTAATTTTTTTCCCGAATATTGCCTTACCAAGGTGAATCCACTTACTATTAGAAAAGAATTTATCTTCATTTACAATAAAACAAGAAAAGTCTTATGATGTAGGTTCAAATTAACACAATAGAATTCAAGATAAACATTTTCCAACATTAATTTTAAGTAAACATGAACTGGAAAAAAAAGAGGGGGGAGAAAGCATTAAGTTAGAGTTCTAGATAACCGGATAGTAAAAATCAAGAGCTTAAAGCAATATACGAGGGCCATCCAGGAAGTAGATTACGTTTCCGTCTGTGTCCGCTAGGGGCGGGGCTAGCGCGGCCATCTTGGGGTCAGAGCGTTGCGCAGCTCAGTCTGCATCTAGCCGTGCTAGTGAGAGGTTCGTGCTGTGCTCCGTTCAGATACTGTGACGGTTTGAAATGTCTGCGTTAATTGAAAATCCCGCGAGCTGCGAGGTGCGCTCAGTAATAAGGTTTCTGACTGCAAAAAACTGTAAACCGATAGAAATCTATCGGCAGCTTCGTGAAGTGTATGGGGACAACATTATCACTGAAGGTGGAGTGCGTCAGTGGGTCATAAGATTTCAAAATGGCCGAACCAATGTTCACGACGAAGATCGAAGTGGGAGACCCAGCATAGTGACCGCCGAACTTCTCGAAAAAGTCGATGCTAAAGTCCGTGAAAATCGAAATTTCACAATAATGGAACTTTCTTTGAGTTTTCCACAAATTTCGCGAAGTTTGTTGCACGAAATCATCAGCGAAAAGCTTGGTTACCACAAGTTTTGTGCAAGATGGATTCCAAAAATCTTGACAGAGGACCACAAAAATCAGCGAATGGCTGCAGCGTTGAACTTTTTGGACGCTTACCATAAGGATGGTGACTCTTTACTCGATCGCATCGTTACTGGTGACGAAACATGGGTGAAACATGTGAACTGTGAAACGAAATTGCAATCAATGCAGTGGGGGGCACACAAGTTCTCCCCAAAAACCCAAGAAATGCATGCAAACAATGTCGGCAAGGAAGATGATGGCGACTGTTTTTTGGGACAGAAAAGGTGTAATTTTGGTGGACTTCCTGGAAAGAGGCACTACAATAAACTCTCAAAGGTATTGCCAAACTCTCCAAAAACTCAGAAGAGCAATTCAAAACAAGCGCAGAGGAATGTTGAGCTCTAAGATCTTGTTGATTCACGACAACGCCCGGCCCCACACGGCAAATGTCACTCGTAAAGTTCTTGAATCTTTTAAGTGGGAGTTGTTTCCTCATCCGCCGTACAGTCCCGACCTGGCACCGAGCGACTTCCACCTATTCCCAGCAATGAAGAAGTGGCTGGCTATGCAGCGTTTTGATGACGACGCACAGCTGCAAGAAGAGGTAACGAAGTGGTTGAAGGCGCAGGCGGCCGAATTTTTCGACGAAGGAATTTCCAAGCCTGTACATCGCTACGATAAATGCCTTAATTTGTATGGTGACTATGTAGAAAAGTAGTATTTGAGTGTGGCTTTCATCTGTATATAATAAAATTTGTTTCCTATACTTTGTTTATTTTTTTATTCCAAAACGTAATCTACTTTCTGGATAGCCCTCGTAATATTAAACACATAAGATATCATAAAACTATTGGACTATCAGATAATATTCTAGAATCAAAAGACAAACCACTTATAAGAATTGCACCCTTTTCATCACACTTTCCTTAGATTTACTATTTGGCCATATCATAACATCAGTTTGATAACTCTGAAATAGAGCCTAAAAGATACAAGGTTTAATTATAGTATTATATTATTTCACATAATTTTAAAAGTTAATACTGAAAAGAAACTAATATTTTAACATGGACCATCTGTTATTTCTGTGAGCAATGTAAAATGAAATATCAGAATAGATTATAAAACAAATTATTTCATGTAGAGTTAACAAAGTAGATATAAATTTTACTCATAAATTATTAGTTTGCGGGAACACATAGAACTTAATATTTTCATACCATATAAATTTCCTATATTTGGTTAAAATGATACATATTAACTCAAAATCAACTTTAGTACAGTTTTATCACTTGAACTTATTGTATAAAACAGGCTTTAAAATTTCAAAGCATCCCTAGTATCAGGATATGCTGCATTTCTCATATTTATTTTACTTATTTTCATATATGGTACTTTATTAAAAAAATCAGCAAAATTTTTGAATCACTTAGAATTTAATCTCTATAGTGACATTATTTTCTACACACTCATTTTTTATACTTTTATTAAAATTTATTTTCATTTAAAATGTTAAAGAGTAGCTGCAGTTTTTTTTTGTCTGAATGGTTAATTCAGATGATAAACTGCAGCTACTCTCTTCAATAATAAATTATACTAAAATTCTGTTTTTGAAAATGATCTGTCCTCTCAATAACTTACAATATAGCTAGATAAATATCCATCTAAAGACACAATAGTTTATGATACAACTGTAGTCAGAATAACATTGGAATTACGATATAAATGAAGTAAAAGTATTATATAAACTAGTTTTTTACACGAAATAGTCCAGAAACATCAGCAGTAACTAGAAAAACAGAGAGGGGAATAAACTGAGGAAAAAAATTTTCAAAGCGTTTTCAGAATCACATTCCTTGATTGATAAATAAATCATCAACAAATGTGCATTTTCTGATTACCTTAATTAAAAAATTGAAATTTCTGATTCTTCCAAAGAGCAGCCAACCGTTGGCAACTAATTTTTTGCCAATGGTTGGCTAGAAAGGAAACAGCTATTTTCAAAAATGGCTATACACAAAGAACTACATAAAACTGAAACCAGTTAACAAAATTAACAACACAAGAAACATTTATAATAAAACATTTTTATGCTGTTATCCCCCAGGTACACAGTGATTTATTTTAGCTTAAATAAAACAACAGAGAATTGAACAAATTGCCACTGGGCACACTGTTGTTTTCCCCAAATATGCAGTGATCTGTTTCCACTTAAAAAAAAAAAAAAAAAAAAAAAAAAAAAAAAAAAATCTCAGAAATTTGCATAAATTTAGCACTGCACAAAATTTCAGTCCACAAAATTTGATCATTTCAGAAGTACAACTTAATGCACAACTTTTTGCATTCTCTGTTGTTGAACAAAGCTCTTTCCACAGCCAACAAACTCTAAAATTCAGTAATGATTCTTCAGAAGAAAAAAATATGTACTCAAAAGCAACAAAAACTAACATTTATCAGAAAAATGACCATCGAATTTGGAGATGGGAATCAACTCTCACCTGATGTTCAGGACATTTCAGAAGGATGCGGATAATCAGAAAGAACCATTTCTTTAATTTAGAAATTTTATTTAGAAATTTCAAAACAGAATTTATGAAACAGAACTAAACAGTAAATATTACAAAAACGTAAAATCATAAAAACACAAAAAACCTTACTTCAATTAACTTGATTTCCTTGAATTTATTAAAAGCACCAGTATAATCATCTCCAGAAAGAGTTTTAATATTCTGTGAAAAGAAAAGATACAAACTAAATACAGCTAACTGTAAGCAATTATAGAAAAATAAAAATTCTAATTATGTCACCTGTGCTTGGTTTAAAACTGTTTTCATATGTGGAATCGTATGATTTTTTACTTAGATACGTAATACCAAGCATTTGAATCACCTTTCATAAATAAAAGAATGCTGCAAATGTTCATAAGAATGAATAATTGGCTGAATTAGAAATTAAATGCAGTTTAAGTTCCATCAATTAGGTATGCAGTGAAATAAGTTTAACGCAAAAAAGCTTAAGATGAAATATTGGTTAATACAAAATAATACAATGGTCCTTACAAACTACAATGTATTTTCATGCATCTGCCCTTAACACAAAACGAAAATCGCTTAACTCAAAAAGATTTTCTCTTCTGGGAAATGAACAAAATATGGAAAACACCAGCCCCGCATGCGAGATTTAAGAGGGGTGTGAAATGAAAGAGAGGTGGTTTCACGTTTCATAGAAAGGAGGCTAACTTGGCTCTGAAATACCCTCAGAATAGCCTGTGACCTGAGGCAATTTTGTTTATCTAAGCTACTTTCACCCTCCACCCCTACAAATGTCACATAAATAACATCTCATCTCTCATCAGTGTGCTTCGGAATTCAGTGATGAGTACATCACAGTGTGATTAGAAATCGGTGCATTTGGTTCCTGTAATTTTTTCCCCCTATTTTAGAAGAATTTTTTTATGAGCACAATAGCAAAGAGCAGAGCTCAAACTGTTATTTAACTTGAAATGAAGATGGAGCTCCTTAAGACTGTTGATCAAAAACAGAAGACAAAAATGGAAAAATGTAAAGATTTTGCAATTGCTAACTCTACATTATCAACAATAATTAAAGAAAGTGAGCAAATTACGGTTATGTTTGAACGGAGTAAGTTTGAGCCAGAGCAAAAATGGATGAGAACGGCGAAGCACAAAGATTTAAAGATGGTTTTACTTATTTGGTTCAAACAAGTGAGATCTCAGAATGCTCCCATATCAAGACATTTAACGCTAGAAAGAAGCGATGAACTTGCTACACAAGTAAGTACAGTACAAAGTCCAAAATCCGGACTCATCGGGACTTCGCAGAGCAGATTCCAGATTTGGGATTTTTCTAGATATTAGATCATCAATTTAAATCTGGTAAGATGGCATGCACAAATTATACAATTAAAAATATGAAATCCTAATTTATGAAATAAAGAACAATTATGATCTAAACGGTATAAAATTTACAAAAAAAAAAAAAAAAAAAAAAAAAAAAAAAAAAAAAAAAAAGACTATATTTTTTGTGTACATTATTAAAAATTTCTTTCAGTGTAAGCTGTTTAAGTTGCTTCCACAAAAAAATAAAAAAGTTCCTTTTTTTTTTCTTATGTTACATACAGTTGACTTTCCAATGCCATACTCCTCGCATAATTTTGAGACGGATATGCCTTTATACATTTTTTTGCAGCAGTTTCACTTTTGTTTAATGGACATCGAAACATGTTTTCACTTTGTAGATCCTTTGGCAGCTCCAGAATTGGAAACTCTTTTCGACATAATTGAAAGTTCAAGCTTAGTTTTTATAAAATTACCATAATAATAACAATCTGCAAAAAATAATAAGCTGGATCAAACTAAAAGATTAGGGAGCAGCACAGTCCGCTACATTAACTGAAATGCCTTAGAATCAGTAAAGATAATTTTAGCCTAGCTTAATAGCATCCGTCATACATAATTGGCTGTGTATCACAAGATTGGTGACGAAAGCTAAGTTGTTCCGCTAAATTTTGTCTTGCTCCTATTGTGCACTGAATTAAGCCTGAATTGTATTAGTTTAGTTATTTACTATACCAATGTTTATTTCTTGCACGTGCTTAAAACTAATCTGAGTTCTAATTAAATAAACTCCCATATATACTTAACGCTTTATCTAGGGTCGGTGCTAAATACCGCATGGTGCAATGTCTATGGGTCCTAAATTCTGCTACAAAGCGCCTTCCTAAGTTCTAAATTTTCACTGCACCTAAAATTTGTATCCCAGTGCTTTCCCTAAATCATAAAAAACTTCTCATCCCTTAATTTTGCCGCCGCTTCTGGGTTTATGGTGAATAACATATCAATTATTCTTAATTAAAATAGCACTAAATGTAATCTTTTGGCCTATGAATTTCATTAACAAAATGTATTTTTAGCTTATGAAAAGAAAATTTTGTTGAATTTTTCCTCGTCAACATTTCTTAGAGCATTTAAAAATCTATACTCATAGCCATAATGTTAGCATAAAAGGTTGCCATACTCTTGTTATTCAATTACTAATATAAAAAAAAGTTTAGACATCACTGCATGAGTTATTACTGAAGCTCTCATGTATTGATAAACATGCGGTGATGAGAGCAAAAAATAATAAATAATGACTTGCCAGGTCAGCGTCAGGAATATAATATAGGTGAATGTTTCGGTAAGCGAGGCAACAGTGGTGAACGGAACGTTTGAGATATATGCCAAGCAGATACTCAGCTACGGAGCCAAATTATTAATCTCACAAATTTATGCATGATTTTATTTAGTTACATGTACTAAATAAAATACCTTGTTGAAACAAATCATTATTTTTCCATAACGAGGTATTTTATTCAGTGCCTAAGTGAAATTAAGAATCGAAATTTTTAATTGAAAATCTCACTGGAAGGAAAAAATCAAACGTGCATGTCTAAAGCACACACCCTTCCAAAAAAAAGTGTGGCTTTGAGATCCAGATTTTAGATCATTCCGTATAATGGACATCCGGATTTCGGACTTTGCACTGTATTACATTTGCTGCAAATCCAGAATGGTTGGAACATTTAAAGAAAAGAAATGGCATAGTACTAAAAAATATTTGCAGTGAAGCTAATCAAGTTTTATCGACCATGACAGCAGACTAGTTTCAGTTTATGTTGCCTTCAATACTTGAAGAATATGAAGCAAAAGATGTCTTCAGTACGGACGAAACCGCATTATTTTGCCACTCCTTACCCAATAAAACTTCAGGAAGGGGAACTGTCTAAAGAATGGATTACAGTATTGGTAGGATGCAAGTCAGATAGTTCTGAAAAGCTAACCCTAATTGTTATAGGCAAAAGTTTGAAACCACTGTATTTTAAGAATGTAAGAACATTACTTGTTGAATATACACCAAGCAAAAAGGCATGGATGGTAGCTATGATGTTCACCAATTGGATTGTAAAGTTAGATAAGCAATTCTTATGAGAAAAGCACAAGGTTGCAATGATAATTGATAACTGTGCGGCTCACCCCAATATAGAAGTGAAAGCTATAAAGCTTATCTTTTTGCCTCCAAATACAACAAGTGTCTTGCAGCCTTGTGATCAAGGGATTATACAAAACATGAAATCTTTCTACCAGAAGCAATTCCTTTGAAAACATTTACTTGCAATCGAAGCAAATGAAGATTTCTCGATCAATTTATTAGATGCTCGTTGCACTCTGCATGGAATTCAGTGACTTCAAGAATGATTGAAAATTGTTTTTGTAATGCAGGATTCTCAAAAGTATTGGATTCTTTAGCGTCAAAAGAAATGGAGAAGGAAAATTACTCGTGCTAATTGATTTTACATATATATATATAAAATCAAGCATATATAAATATATATACATACTATATATTGGCACTATCCTTGAACACAAAACAATATTTCAGTCCCCTCAGTTTCGTGCTAAATGATTTTCACTGTATTATTCAAAAAAATAAGATTTAAATTATTAACTGCATTCATTACTTCTAAATTAATCAGTTTGTTAATCTTTTCAAGGATGACTTAGCACAGAAATCTTCCAGTATAAGATGATTTGGGCATTACAGCAAAGCCCGGAACTTTTTGGGGTATACAACTTAGGAGGTTGAAAAATCATACATTAAATTACTAGAAATACAGTACAAAGTCCTAAATCTGGATATCCAGTATCAGGAAGGATCTAATATCCAAACCTTTAGAAAAACAACCAAAAATAAATAAATAAATGAATAAAATTAAAGAATTTTTTCCTTACAAAGTTTAGGAAATGAAAATTTAGTACTCAAAAGAAAGCAGGTATATCATAAATGTGATTTTTCTCAACTAACAGATTCCTGTATATCACTTTCGAACCCATGCTTGCCAGGGAACTGCGCCATGGTCAGTAACATGACAATACATGGATGAAGTATTCATATTGGCATGATCACATTTCCAAACCTTGAGTGGCTGTAGAGTGAGGGGCTAGCCTTTTTCTACTTACCCAACTTATTATTTTTTTGTAGGTTATAACTACAACTACCTTTTCAAAATCAAAGTTTGAATGAATTTCTGATTATGTCATCGAAAAGAGTTTCTAACTCTGAAGCTGCAGCATAATCAACAGTGTGAAAGTTTGCTTCAATGTCAATCAAGCAAAAAGTGGATAAGAACGAATCCATCACAAAATTATACATGGAGTATGGCACTGGAAGTTAACACTTTGATATCCAAAAACAGAAAAACATATTTAACTTTTTTGTGGGTTCTGACATCACACTCACAATAAATATCAGAAAAACCAGTCATTATGCTAAAAGTGGCAATAATGACAAAGTGATGAGAATGGATGAAAAAGCATTGTAGCAAGGACATGCCACTGATGGGTTCAATGCCAACTGCATAAGTCAAAATATTTCGAACATAAAAAATGTGACTGCACATATTTGACAGGTCAATTAACCAAACTTAAAAACTGCTTCAGTCTGTGGTAGAAGGCAATTTAAAAATTTCAGGTAAAAAAGCTTCAATTCATATGGAAGCACCTGAACAGTCTGCAGATGAGGTAATTCAATTCATTAACAGTGAAAACTTACTTCCAGTACAAATTTATTATGCCAATGAAGCTGGCCTTTCTGAGAACATATACTCCAAAATACCTTGGTGATGTCTGCAGAAAAGCCCCAACTGTTGTCAAAGATTCCAAAGCAAGACTAATGATT